TTTTGCTTCAGGAACCGATCAGTACTGAGCAAATTCATTTACCCTGATGACCTAGGAATTAAAAACGTAGTTAGTGCGATGTTATCATGAAAGCTGTCTCTTCATAACTTCGTAGAATTACTATCCTTATCATATGTTAGTTTCCTCCTCTTCTACCTGCTGTATCACTCCTGCTTCTTTCAGGATATTAAACATTTTCTGTCCTTCTTACTCTCTTTATCTTTTCTCTTCACTCATCCTTCTAGCAAATTAGTTACTTTTCCTTTCAATACATGGCGAGTAGGGGGCTGTACTGACGATTCCCACTCCTACCCACATGCATATTCCGGTCTGTGTTTACAGCTAAGGGATGAAACACAGACTGCATCGAAAAATATCACCCCACTACATCTAAAAGATAAAGGCAATTTGCACCATAAAATAACACCATACACATGGCCTGCGTACAATCCTGTTGGTCTGTTATTCCACCCATTCCATCAAAATGAAATACTAATCTCTAATCCGCATTGTTTTTATTAAAAGGAATTTATAGTTCCTTTTTTTTTATTAAAAGAATATTTTAAGTATAATATCTCTGTGGCACTTTTCATTAGCCATCGGCCTATTTTTAAGGTGATCAGCAACGAAAGCAACGTACCTGGAGATAGTACGAGAGAATATTCGCAATCACAACATCATTCGTTTGGTATCCATCAACCAATCCTGGAAAAAACCCCTCTGCAGCGCAACAGAACAAGCGTATGATGTTTATTTCCCATGTATTTCGTGAAATAACATGTTTTTATGCTTAAAAAAAATATACTAGAACATCTTAATGGACCGAAACGTCTTATCTCGCTCTTACTTTCTCTTCTGCACTATTCTTTCCTCCTGAATTCCATCAAACCTTGGCCTTCTGCGCTCTCAGGGTCAACCTGGATGCTGCAATCTGCTTAGCTCCTGTTTTCAGTTCCCTCGCCCTCATTTATTAATCTCTTGGCATTCGCGTCTTTCTTTCTTTATTTCATTGATTATCCCATTTAATTTGCATCCCAATAAGCAATTTTTGGAAATATTTTGCTGGGAATAAAAAGGTATATTAATAAGGGATGAAATAAGAAGAATCAAAAAGAAAGATAGGAGATGAAAATTACAGAAATTTATGAATTAATAGAATTATTTCAATGACAAGAAATGTCTCGGTTCATTAAGGTTGTATACATTTTTTACCATTACCACAGTTGGATCTCGTCAGAACAGTGATTGTGATAACTCCCACTGCATCTCTTCTCTACAGAAATATTTAGAAATGTCTCGGTCCATTAAGTTTTTATGCATTTCTTACCATTACCACAATTGGACTTCGTCAGAACAATGATTGTGATAGCTTCCTCTGCATCTGTTCTCTATGGAAGTATTCTGGGAATAGCAGGTGCCGGCAAAATCTACCTACTAACAAGGGTATCTATGACTAACTCATTTGAGGGTTGCATACATACAAGCTGGTGGCTTGTTTTTTTAACGATAATTGTTATTAAAAATGGTGGAAAAAGGCGTTTTTTTCGGTTTTGACTGCCCATATTGGACATGCTGGAATAGGTGATTGATTGATTTTCTGTTGTGATTTTTCGTGATTCTAGGAATAGTACCAGATTTTCTGCTTTTGAAAATATTGGTTAGCAGGAATAATGCCATCGATTTGTTTATTTTA